AAGTTTTTTAATTTCCAGACCAATTGGTTTCTGTTTTGCTTTACCAAGGATTTCTGTATTATAAATTTTAAGGAGCTACTTAATACATAAGATTCTTCTTAAACAGTTGTTAATGAATACTAGAAGTTTTTTCATGTTATTTTTATTGCAGTGCCACGTCTCAAAGCCATATAGTAGGACAGATTTGACATTAGCATGGAAAATTTTAACTTTTGTTGAATTTGTTATGTATTTGTTTTTACAGAATTTATTGAGAATAGCGTAACTGCTTCAGGCTTTGTTTAATCTATATAGTATATTTTCATCGGTTCTTTTGTTGTTAATTATACTTCCAAGATACGTAAAACTACTGACCTCCCTAGTTTATTATTTTTTAAAAATGCGTTATTTGTTTAGAATATTAGTACTGTCCAATTGCCCCCCAAAAATTTTGAATGGTTACAAAAATTTGAATAGTTTCAATTTTCTGATATATTGTCTAGGTTCTATATAGCTATAAAAATTCCTCCGAATTCTTCCATCTCGAATTTTTCAATTACCCCGACCATTCGTGACCAGCCATCTTGAAAAATCACTAATTTTTAAACATCATCCTGTTTGTGTTTAAATTTTTTCAAAAATAAATTTTTTTTAAATATTTCTTTTTGCCAAATTAAATTATCTACAAAATTTGAGCTAGACTGAAACCTGAAGCTGTAATATTTCTTGAAACAGAACTCTTTGAATTTGAAGGTATTTTTTCAAAAGTATATAGATATAAAAAATAAAAAAATAAAAAAATTTAAATTAGTTACTGCCTAACTTAAACTAAAAATTGAATTCTGTGTCAAGGTTTGACTCAGTGATAATTACCTGTCGTAATTTTTCTTTGGTAAGGAACTACTGTTATGATTTTTTGGCGTTACTTGCTTCGTTCGTTACGGACATTTCATTGTTAGAATCATTAGGTGGAATTTTAATGTACGTGATAGCAAGAAAATTATGATCGGTAACCTTACTGACCCGATTGCAAATAAACTTAAAGATATCGAGTACATCTTCATAAACATAATCAATGCTCACCAGCACACAGCACCTATGCCCCATGAAAAACATCTTTATAAATGAACAGGGAATATCATTTCATATTTCACATTCTATGCAATATTTGTCATTATCAGTGCGCTACAAAAGCAATAATATTTTTAAACATCTATGCAGAGGATTACGTCCCCTTATTAGAGTCAAAATTATCGATAGATTTTTACAGTAAATGTAATAAATGATTGCGGCACCACGATAGCATAATCATGAAATCCAGCTCGAAAGTTGACTAACACTTTATAGAATTGTTCTAGAATTGAAAGAAAGGTTATACTTTATGTAAATTGATTTATATGTTTACTTATTAATGAAATTTCTGCCAACGATATTTACTACGAATACCCACCCCCCCACAAGTGTGTTGTTACTTACTTTTGTTTTTTTAATAATAACTGTCTTTGAACAGTCGACCCAATTTTTTGGGTTTACGACTACTAATGTTTAACTCCGCACTCTTGTAATTTTAAACACAATCCAAGAAATGGGATACTCCTGGATCAAGTATTGGTAAAAATTTGCCATCGTTGAGGACTATTATAGAACTAACTAATTTGCGTTAAATGGACAGGAAGACCACGAGAACCTCTCACAGTAAGCCTGACGGCAAAGGGACTAACCCATGATCCGTTTACCACCGTGGTCGATGCAAGCCGGAGGCGGATTCGTATTGACCTGCCATCGCTGGGATTCTAACCCGGTTCACCTCGGAAGGCGAAAGCTCTATCCCCTGAGCCATCGCGGCTTTTACTTATGCCACTTGGCAACACCAGCAAGCCTGCTTGAAATCAAGCGAATTTAAAGCAGATGATTCGTTTCTTGCTTTTCAGTTGTGCTATCTACGACCAAGAGTTCAAACTTAATACAAGTCACAGCCAGTTTCACAAAAAGGACCCAATCATATTCCCTTCAGCCACAGATCGTAATTTCAACCTGAACCAACGAACGATCAATCTCCATTTCGGTATCACCAGAGGTACTGATTTATGGGAACTGACTATATTGCGATCCAGACAGATTTAACGTGCGCGAGTTACCATCTAATATACACAGGGATTCTTTAGCCAGCGGGATTCGAAAATCCGTTCTCACGAACAAGAGCCCAACGCCCTACCAACCAGGCTCTCCCGACTTGGTGTCTCAAGTCTATTTTACATGCAGTTCAAGTTTTAACTAGGGTGGTATTTTGGCAATAAAAAAAAGAACGAAAACGTGCTTAAAATAGAGCATATTACGCATGCTTTCGAACCCAACGGCTTCGTTGAAAAACTTGAATAAAGTTACAGGCATAAAAGATGCCAAAAACCCTGTTGAACGATGTGCTGTATAACAATTAGAAACTGGGGCTACAACTTGGCCAAAAGGCCCAGTTTCAAGTTTTAATAATTAGAGCTTCATGGTGAAAAAGTAGCTTAAGAATTTCCAGCTGCTCAAGAAAAGATGTTAGTTTTAAAAAGAATGTGATGACAGATGTAACTTTAAAAAAATTATACATTTCAGTACCTACATTAGCGATCATCAATCGTTTGCTTCAAGCCGCAACTTAACTTATCGATGAAGTTAGCATTGCCTATCGTCGTGCGACTTGTAAACATTCTAATAATGATACTCATTCTAATAATGATACTCAATCCAGAATTTGATAAAGTCAGAGATAAGGCATTCTGTCTAGAACTTAGTTTTATGGTGCAACGAATAGTTTGTCTATGGAAAGAACTCCCTTCGCCACAAAGTCTAAGGCCGTCTGCTGCTACAAAAACAAGAAATAGCGCATTTAAAAGAGGGGAGTTTCTTTCTCCCCTGAGCCTCACAGACCCGAGACAAAACATGTCGTAAACATTGACCCGACATCCCGACTGGAAATAGTTGAACCTCATAACCACAGTTGGAGCCACTGATCCAGATGAATGGCGAGGAGAGTTCTTTCCATGGACAGACTATACGCTATTTGCTTCGTGAAAATAAAAGCAAAATTGTTTAATTAGGCTAACTACNCAGGCACGCTAACCACTCGATCACCTGGTCGGCGATTTTTAACGTAAATGCAGCAAATGAGTGCAGCACCACGATAGCATAACCACGAAATCTAGCTCGAAAGCTCACTGACACTTTTTAGAACTATTCTAGAATTGAAAGATAAAGAAATCTTATGCTTAAAAGTAAATTGATTGATATGTTTAATTATTAATGAAATTTCTGCCAACGATATTTACTACGAATGCCCCCCAGAGGTGTGGTGTCACTTATACCTTCTTTTTTTTTAAAAAATAATAACTGTTTTTGAATAGCCGACCCAATTTTTTGGATTTACGACTACAAATGTTAAACTCCGTAAACTTGTAATTTTAAACACAATCCAAGACAAGGGAAACTCCTGGATCAAGTATTGGGAAAAATTTGCATTCATGGAGGACTTTATTATAGAACTAACCCACATTTGCGTTAAATGGACCGGAAGACCACGAGAACCTCCCACGGTAACGTTGACGGCAAAGGGACTAACCCATAATCCGTTTACCACTGAGGATATTTCACGTCAGCACTGTGGTCGGTGCAAACCGGAGGCGAATTCGTATTGACCTGCCACTGCTGGGATTCGAACCTGGTTCACCTCCGAAGGCGAACGTTCTATCCCCAGAGCCTTAGCGGCTCTTACTTATGCCACTTGTCCACACCAGCAAACCTGCTTGAAATCAAGCGAATTTTTAAGGCAGAGGGTCCGTCTATTGCTTTTCAGTGGCGCTATCTACGGCCAAGAATTAAGACTTCAGCCACATACACATCACAGCCCGTTTCACAAAAAAGACCCAATCATATTCCCTTTATCCGCAGATCGTAATTTCGACCTGATCCAAAGAACGATCAATCTCGAATTCTGTATCAGCAGAGGTATTGATTTATGGGAAGTTTGAGTATATTGCGATCCAGACAGATTTAACGTGCGCAAGTTACCATCTAATACACAGGGATTCATCAGCCAGCGGGATTCGGAAATCCGTTCTCACAAACAAGAGTCCAAAGCCCTACCAACCAGGCTCTCCCGGGTTTGGTGTCTCAAGTATGTTTTACTTGCAGTTCAAGTTTTAACGTGGGTGGTATTTTGGCAATAAAAATAGGAGCTAAATCGAGCATATTATGCATGCTTTCGAACCCAACGGCTTCATTAAAAAAACTTGAACAAAGTTACAGGCATAAAAGATGCCTAAAGTTCTATATTATTGCGGGGATGATTGGAACTTCTGTTGAACAATGTACTGTAAAAAAATTAGAAACTAGGGTTACAACTAGGCCAAAAGGACCAGTTTCAAGTTAATTAGGGCTTCATGGTGAAAAAGTAGCTTAAGAATTTGCAGCTGCTCAAGATAAGATGTTAGTTTCAAATAGAATGTGATAACTGTAAGTTAAAAAAATACGCATTTCAGTACCAACATTAGCGATCATCAATCGTTTGTTTCAAGCCTCAACTTAGCTTATCAATAAAGTTAACATTGTCATCGTCGTGAGACTTGTATAGATTCTAATAAGGACACGCTCGAGTCTACTGGTAATCCACGATTTGATAAAGCATTTTGTCTAGAACTTAGTTTTATGGTGTAAAGTACAGTTTGTCTATGGAAAGAACTGTTTTCGCCACAAAGTCTAAGGCCGTCTGCTGCTACAAAAACAAGAAATAGCGCATTTAAAAGAGGGGAGTTTCATCCGTTAGCCTCTCCGGCCTGAGCCAAAACATGTCGTAAATATTGACCAGGCACCCCGACTGGAAATAGTTAAACCTCATAACCACAGTTGGGGCCAATGATCCAGATGAATGGCGAGGGAAGTTCTTTCCATGGACAGACTATCTGCTATTTGTTTCGCGAAAATAAAAGCAAAATTGCTTAATTAGGCTAACTACCATTCTATGCATTGAAAATAAGTCATTGATTTGCAAACAAATTTAATGCCAAATCTCGAAAAGAATTTACAATCAGAAAAATTAAACTATAGAACTAAAGTTGAATCAGAAATAGAAAGGTATAATAGATTTTTTACATGCATAAACATATGCACCAAATACGAAAAAGCATTCTAAAAATAAGTGTATAGTCATTACAGATTTACGGCACACGGTGGCTGCAACTCCCGCATTCTTATGGTCGAAAAGCATCTTTTCTTCTGGTTCCAATGATTTTTCTACAGAGTCAGCTATATCCTTCAACACATAGTCTTTAACGAGTCGCATGTTTGACTTTTTACAATCAATCAAGAAATGCAACTGTTCCTCCATACTTTGAATGGTTTCAGTTATCATTTGAGAGCATTCTTTCAAAACTTCCGACGAGGGTCTTCTCTTATTTATTATTTCATCCATACCCATTTCCTTTATCTTCGCGCAATGGTTCTTAGTCTCATTCTTTATTTTTCTGGCAAGATCCTTTGTTGCTGTCTCGATGACTTCTAGCTGGAAGCTGGCTGTCGTCCCAGCCGTTTCAAACAGGTCGGCCACATCGGCGGATGAACTACAGCAGAGTTGCACCGAAAAGTTACTCAAATCACTTTCTGATGTTGCCTCGCTTGTTTCGTGATCCAGGTGATTTGCAACAGCATCTGATTCCTGAATCTTTTTCTGTGACTTGGCTGAGGTTTCGGTAATCATTCTTGCCCCTAATAAAAATAAACATTGAATATATTTCCAACTGAAGTATTTTAATGGTAAGTACAAACGTTACACGGAAGCTCGGTCATGTGTTCATTTATCGCAGCAAAAATTGAGATTGAAATTCGCAATATAACGAGAAATCGAGTCAGATAGTTGTGCAATAATACCCTTCTTGCATAGTCTGTCTAAAAGCGAAATGTAATGAAGATAGTTATAAAACAATCAGAGGATTAGATGTAGAGTAATGGTTATATAACAGGAATCAGGCATACTGCGCTAAATTCAAAATACAACCAGCAATGAGCCTTAACTGAAACAAAAATGAAACAGTGCAAAAATTATGTATGCTGCAAAGAAAAAAAAATATAGATTGAAATTACAAAATTAGCGGCGTAAGCTAAGCTTGAAATCAGCATTTATGCGCAGATTAGGTAGGTCTATGTAGCTATAGAAAACTATGCTTGAAAATTAGTTTTCCTCCTGCTACATCAAGAGATTCGTGTTACAAGTTTTAATACATAGATTTTGAATTGAACATGTTTTATTGCAATTCCTGATTTTCAACTCTAATTTGTGCTAATCTCATAATTTACTACCACTTGTCATCTCTTTTAACCAGTGATCTGAAAAACTACATTGTTTTGTAGTTAACTGCAACTACTTTTTTTAATGCAGTCTAATATAAACTTTAGAAACGAGACTACTTTTAGGAGGCGAGATAAGCTTCACAGCAGATCTTTATTTTTTACATCCATGTTCAAAATTGTTGAATTAAAATAGGTTTATTTTAAAATAGGTTTATTTAAAAAGGAAGAACTATTATATATTTTTTTCTTGTTTACATGATTCAGTTTGTTATCCTAAACCATTTTTTCGCGAATTTGTTCCTTTTTTGAATTGCCAAGGCAGTTCAACACTGTCTTCATGAACCTTTAAAGTATCTACCATTTTCCTTATTTCTGAAGTAAAAGAAATTATCGTAGGGAAATATAATTACGCATGTGATTTAAGTATCAGGATTTCCAGAAAACAAACTGTTGCCATTTTTTATGAAATAAACGCTGCTCTGGAGCACCAAACATAATTCTTATCAACGTTCGGCCTTGTTATAACGTTGAAAAGGATGTTCCATGGCACAAAAGCCATAATCTGCTACTTAATGGGAAAACAATTTTACTCAATATAATTAAATCTAACTTATAAACTGAGTATGGTGTAAAAAATAAATAAAAAATCACTAGGAATTAAAGATGTTTACGATACCTTTGGATCATGTGACCAGTGATTTCCTGAAGCTAAGCTTCTTGAAGAAAAATATCTCAGTGAAAAACACAAACTGGTTATCGTTAGATAAATATGTAAAGTTTAATGGTACAAGATCCGAAGTCTGCTATACTACGCCAAACATTAAAAGCACTATGTAGTCTGATCAAACGCTTCAAGCTAAGTCTGAAACTAAATTGATAAAATTTAAACGAGCCATCCAATATTATTATACAGTTTTCAATATAACGCGTTCTTTCAATTAAACTTTCAACGAAACAGACAAATGAATTAGGAGGATTCCGCAAGCTTGCTATGATGCTACCCAAAATAAAACTGCACTATTTTACACAAATATCGCCAAAGGGATAACACTCAAAACATAGAAAACCTTACACTTTATGTTGTGATATTAATTTTGATAAATTTATTTTAGGCTCACGACCCGTTAGAATTCATAAATTACAGTAAACTCGTATGAATGGTAACATTAAGCGTACATTTAAATACAAATTACAATAATAAAACTTCCTAGAATATTAAGCCTGTTCACACATCGCTATGTAAGTATAGCATAAGCGGATGGATACACCGAAAGTTTCCTAAATTTCTTCCGGTTTGAGGTAAACGAAAATCTGTTCAATGTACCGAAAATTATTCTCTTTTTCAGATTTTATTTTGCTTACGGTATAGATCAGAATTGCATTTGATCGAAAAAAATTCGAAAGGAAAAGACTTTATAAAGCAAAAGAATGACAAATTTAGTCTTAACTTTACGCAAAAGTAGCTTTTTACTTTTGAGACGTAATAATGTAACAGATACGAAATATCTCTTACACGGTTTTTTTTTAAGCGTATATCTTCACTCCAACTGCTTTGACAGACGAGAGTTTTCTGTAGTCAATACGTTAGGGAATTTTCCATGCACGCAAAATTGCTATTTATTATAATAACTATTTCCCGTTCGCGTATTGACAAAACATACCGTAGATTGTAAAAGGGTTGGCGAAAATTTCTATCGGTGTTAAAGGAGCTTCTCGCAAATCGCCAAACAGCTGTGTGCTTATGTTTTTGTTTTGTTTTTTGTATCAAGTATCTATCATTCACCAAGTTACATATGGGTGTGACATTTCAGAGTTTCAAATAAGCTGATCTTCATTAGATTCTTCTGCATTAAATGAAATATAAAGCGTATTTTTTTGTTATAGCTCCGACATAATCGTTTGTATTTGTTAACATAATTGTGTTTATTAGCCATATTACGTCTATCATAGATATCTTTAAGACGTCTATACTTGTTGAGGATNGATTCCTTTTTACAACTTTCGAAATCAAAAAATTTGACAAAGGTCCACGAATGTCTACGACATTGAGAAAACCCAAAAGTTAGAATTTGAAACCAGACTTAATTTAAGGTAATTTTAGAAGCTCTTACAGCTCAGAATTTAAGTTTATTGCTACAGATGAAGCTTTACTTCGAGACATTAAATGAGCGAGTAATTTATATAGTATTTTCAAGATTTATTAGGTCAGTTCTAAAACTTTAACAGCTGCATATTGTGTTAGGTTGTTCGATGAAAAATTTTTTAAAATTGATTGATTTTAACAGTGAAAATAACTAATGGGCATCATTGCAGTCACTAAATTAAAACCAAGCAGCATATTATAGTAACCATAGAGTATTGAAAATAATTTTCAGCAGCCAATATCCAAACGAGAAAGTTTAGGATTCTGTTTTATACCTCATAGTCTCCGAAATGTTTGCTTCTGACTTAAAATGCTTTAAAAGTTTACACTTATATAAAAGTTTTTAAATAGATTCAATATAGGCTATTTTTTTAAGAAATATTTTTATGCAATTTCCTTGTAATTGATGTCAAAAGTTCATCTATGTTGAAAGGCATTGATATTAGGAAGTTTGACTTTATGAAAATGGAGTTTTGAAAAGTTAATTTCATAAAGACCTAAATGTACAATAATTTTTTATTGAATTTAGAATTTTAACTTCTCAAAAGTTTGCTATATTGCAAAAAAACACCTAAACACATACGCGATACTACGAAAACTTAGCGAAATTAAACGATATTTTGGACTAATTCTGGATCAAAAAGTTAAAACCAAACACTTAAATACTTAATGGTTTACAGTTTATTTAATTCGTTTTTACTTACTAGTTTTAGTGTTTGTAATAATAGAATCCTGTGCAATAGAAGGTTCCAACAAGTGGGAGCACTAAAAGTCTTTGCAGAATCTCCTAAGCTTATAAAGCGTGCTAAAGAAGCTTGTAAGTTTCAACTGTTTCCTGATCGATACGGGCAAAATTTATCGCAATAGTATCGAAAGAGGGAATTTGTCGCGTATATAATTTTATACTGTGGCGTAACTACCACCAGAAATATTGAATACCAATTCCCTAGCATATAAGAGATGTTAACTTGAACCCATCTAGAGATACCTTTTGTTAGATGAAGGTTGATATAGTCTATAATTAATTTCCCTCAATACTATTTTAAAGTCAGCTAGAATACTTAAATTTTATCTGGAACTCCGTACTGGTCTTAATTGTTCTTTGACGAGAAAAATTTATCGGGATATGATTGCCGAAATAAATTTAATGTCTACCAAAGTTCCTACATTTTAACTAAAGCACTAAAACTTGAACAAGCTCTGAGCTGGATGCATACCTGCCAACTTTTAATCCTTTCGAGGATGGTTTTCCTCAGTGGTAGTAAATTCGAATTTAAATTACATTTTTAGGCAGAAACATATGCTGTTTTTGAATAAAGCTTAAGTGGACAAATACGACAGTATTTTATATCAATATATATGATTAAATATTTTGCAAATAGTGGTGGTCAAAAAGATTTTAAATTAAGTTTATAAATGGAAGGAATATATAGAAAGCATAAATTTTACTACCACTTTACAGAAATAAAATTTTACGCCAAATGCGTAAAAGTTGGCAGCTCTGTGGATGATATCCTAAGTTTTAGATGTTTCGACAGTTTCAAATAGAATCACATTATTGCTAATAGAAAATTTTGGTTAAAAAGAAATCCCCGACTAGTAGCTAAAATAAAATTTCCTCTGGAGCTCTAAATGATAGCAATACATGCAATGGTTTCTTAACCAGTATGAATAGCATTTATCGTCAACTTTATGTTACATAAAAATGCCCGACCATCAGCTAGATAGAACTTATAACACCTCTGTGCTTGACTGCAATGCTAGTTTTCCAACTGCTACAAACAGAATTTGTCATATTATGTATCTCCAAATGCAAATTACTGACTAGCTAAAGCAGCGGTTCCCAAAGTGTGGTACGCGTACCCCCAGGGGTACGAGAACAGTTTAGCGGGGATGCGCTTTCTTATGCGAAATATCTTGCAACAAACGAAAATTTCAAAATTTTTTTATTTAAAATCAAAGTCAACCATGAAAATTTACGATTATGTATTGGCAATTTTGGCCAGGCAATTGGCAATTACCTATTGGCAATTTTTTGCAGAGTTAACAGTTAATAATTAGTGGTGTCAACAGTTAGTGGTTAATTAACTTTTGTGCAATTTTTTAACAGTAAAAAATCTATTCATTTTTTTGTTAGGGGTACACAGCGTTACGAAAAATTTAGAAAGGGTACACAAAAGTCATAAGTATGGGAAACACTGAGCTAAAGTGATGAAATTCCAACTGAAGATTAATCATTGATTAAAAGTTTCGATGATTTTCTAAACACTACAGAGAGAATTAATAGTCAACTGAAATAATTAGAATTTTGTTTTAACATTAATACGCATGCAGCAATATTTTATAATAAAAGGACATTTATTTTTTGTATGTTTAATTAATGAAAATGAAAAATTTAAATTTAATTTTTCATTTTGATTCTGAAGCACAAAAATTATTCCTCTTTTTTTAAAAAATTTTAATCAAATTATCTACTAGAGTATTCAGCAGAGTTCAGAGAATATCTCGTCCCAGGAAAAGCAGACACATTTTTTAAATAATTTATAAGTCTAAGAATTTCATATCTAGCGTCGCGATACTTGTGCCACGTATGTCCTTTATCATTACCAGTGTTACGAAATTCTATTTCATTATTTTACTCACCATTATTCATGCGTCACGCATGCCTTCAGCATTCATATTTGGTTTACTGCATATTAAAACGATTTTATAAAGTTTTCGTTGCACAACTGTCGTACACCGCAGTTTGACAGAGAGAAAAACAATATTTTTTTAGTTTACAAATTAAATATTCAAAGTATAATAAACCATATTTTTATAAAGTTGTTTCAGTGACTTTGTTTTGAGCGACAATGAAAGTTTTTTACTTTATTCCTGCTATATTAAAAAAAATGAAGTTTTAAAAGCTGGTTTAATTTTGCTTTTTAATTTTTATGTTAATACACTTTATCGAATGGAACAAAAAGTCAAAATTTAGTCCGAAAACGACTTAAGAGTCCCTTGTAACTGTTTTGACATTATTGTAAGTTGCGATTTTTATACAACATCACGAATAAATAAATTTCTACAGAACACAAAGCTTCATAATTTTTTTTAAAAAGTTTCTTCCCAAATAAACAGCATATACGTCGAATAAACTAAAACTATTACAGAATATTTATCACGTCAAAGATTAATAAATTTACTTTTTATACTTACTTCAAAAAGAAAACGTTACCAGCGAAAGGACTTGACAAACACAAATAGAAGAAAGTGGTGGCAGAAGCTATTCGTTTTTTAGTAGCAGAATAACTTCGTTACTGAATTTTGATTATTTCAGTTGTTTAATTTGGAACGCTATTGGTTACTCAATTTTGCCTGATTTCAATTACAACTGAAAACAGTTACGGGGCCTCCCTGGCCGAACGGTGTAGCCGGCCAAACACTGTGCAAAGCGTGGAGGTAGCGGGTTCGAATCCCGCTGTTATCCTGGATGTATCTTCATGCTGTCTTCTTTGTATTGTGATATCTGTTCTTATTTTTGAGAAAGGTTTAAAAGCCTGAATTCAGCACACAAACCTGCAAATGTATGTAATTCCAATGAACCAATAATAAAAGCAGTTAAAATGGGGCCTACCCTGTCAAGCAGACTTGGAGTTCGATCAAACGCTCTGTAGAGCAGAGGTAGCGAGTTTGAATCCCGCCTTAATCCTAGCTCGATGTATCTTAATGATTTCTCTCTACAACTTGTACTGCCAGTTTCTCAGCTAGACAAATGCTTATAAGAAATACTTTGTAATGAGCATCACACAATGCTGCAAATGTGTAACAATAAATAAATGCAGCTAAAATGGGTTTACTTCCTCAATTTAGACATTTATCTGAAGGGGAAGGAAATTTCTCCATATCAATATACCATTGGTACTGCTCAGCAGCTGACCATGGTACTTTCGATTCAACAGATTTTATGGGCACGTATATTGCATGCATTCGATGGGTCTTAGCGGAGTTGAGGATTGAACCACGGAATCTGCTGACCGGAGTCTTATTCTCCAGTGTTGAGAACAAATGCTTGCATATATATGCGTAACAATAAATAAATAAATTTAGCCGGTGTGACCAAAAGACACGGGATAGTAACAAAAATGATCGCAGTTTAGCTAAAAGAACACAGAGTAGCTCTAAAGAGTTTCAGCTCAGAATGGCTAAAAATTAAAGTAAAACAAACTCAGTTATATGTTCATCCTCCTAACAAAATGAAGCGTAATCGTAGTGGGTTCGAATTCCGTCGTGACTCTGGCTATACGTTTTATTCTCACTTTTGTGATGTTTGTCCGTAATACAGTATTTCAATTTAACAAATGCTTTTATGTCGGTTTTGGAGTAATGGTACTTAGGAACTTTTATTTGCGTCACACTAAAGCTGCACAATGAGCTATTGGAGATGGTCTGGAAAATGTCTCTGCGGATGATTCGGAGGCAACATTAATACGTCACACCCCATTTTACAGAGAAGACACACTCGCACACCATTCATCTGAAGATCGTAATTTTGCCCTGAAGCAGAGCACGTTCAATCTCCGATCCAGTACCCCCCAGAAGTACTGATTTGTTATGGGAACGTGGAACACTTTGTGACCTCGACAAATTTAGCAGCCACCAGTCACCATTTTATTCACCGGTGGGGATTGAACTCACGACCTCTCAGACATGAGTCCAATGCCCTACCATCTAGGATCCCGGTTTTCATATTGAACACAAAAACCTGCGTATGTATGTGTAATAATAAATTAATAGATAATTTAAAGATACCAGAACAACAACAAAAATGAGAGCAGGTTAGCTTTCCAAACATAGAACAGTTCCGAAGAGCTTTAGCACTGATAAGCTAAAAGTTAAAATAGGCCAAACACAGTGAAATTTTCTTCCTCCAAAGAAGATGAAACGTGGTAGTGGGTTCGAATTTCATCGGGACTTTAAATGTATGTTTAATTGTCTCTTTTGTGATGTCTGTCCATAATGCAGGATTTCAATTTAACAAAGGTTTTTATGCTGTTTTTTTTGCAGTATTTGGGGCCGTAGTAATATGGATATATATTCTACTCACTTTAATATTTAGAGTCCTCAGGGTGAACCATCTTTTTTATCGAGGTGACAAGCCTTCAGATTTATATATGAATGAAGAACAATGAATACAGTTAATTAGAATAAGGTGGCTTAGAAACTACATGCGACAGAGTTGGTAGGTAGCAAGTTCGTGCAATCGAAGTCAGTGAAGAAACTCAACGCTTGGAAGCGAATAGCAAAAAGCAATTCATTGAAGTAGTACTGAGCATTGACTCCTAATGACATGCAACACAATTGTGTGTTAGTTTTTCTTTCAAAGATAACTTTCAAAAGGCGGTGATTTGTTTTGGACACATGGCTCAGTAAAATCAGTATGATGGATATGATAGTGAAAGTTTTGAGTTAAGGCCACTGCGCCAATAAATTGTTTATTGAAAGTAGAGAGACACAATTAGCGAAATATAAATTCTTTTAACTCTCCAACGGTGTTTTATGCCAGATATCTGGTGCCTTATTGTGGTGGGTCGTCAACACATGCACAACAGTGCACAGCATTCAATATCACCTGAGAAATATTGTACTCGATTTCCAAATTCTTAAGCGAACCCTTAATGAAATGCCGCACTCAAATCATTAGAAAATGATTGTAATTTCTTTCTGAAGACAATCATACATTTTACGCACAAATATTTCACATTCTTTAATGATTTTCTTTTAAATATATTTGTAGTGGGATTGGTAAGGCAGAAAATAACATGATTAAACTATAAAACTTTTTGAAAAATAATTTTTTGTTTAAAAATATTAGTATTCCATTTGCTAATGTTTTTTTTTAAATTTTTTTATTCCTTACACTGATGTTTCTTTAATATCTACCAATATATATGCAGTCAAATTTAGTATGAATCCGAATCCTAATATTGTATCACGATTCGAACATCTGCGATTTCGACGTACGCATTCTGATGCCGTAATATTGGCATTCGCGGTTCTGTATGATACGATCTGATACGTGTGGGTACTTTTGTGGGTTCTTTCCAAGAATCGTGCAAGGTAAAATTTTTGTTTAAAAAAAAGCAGTAAAAGTTTTGTTTTGCTTTCGTAGTTAAAATATTTGGTACTCTACCGTTTCCGTGGCAGCTAAAATATTACCAATATCATATCGTGCACAGTAAATAAACTACGAATTCGTCAGTAGTTAAAATATTTGGTACATTTCTGTTTCCAAGATCCACTAAAATATCATCAAATTGTTAATTACGACAGTGATATTTTAATTGTGATAATAGATTATACTGGCTTAGTGGTAAGAGATACTAATGATATTCTAGTAATGGGTAAGTCGTCCCCAGAAACGCAATAATACCAGATCTTACTAAGGCTGCTAATAGAGACATCCAAGACATAAGCTTAGCTATATCACTGCGTGGATAAATTAATCAATTATCGTTTGCATTATTATTATTGAACGATTCAAATTCCTATTCCAATAGAAACGTATCCCTATTGGTTGCTATCAGCAATTGATTGATTATTGATAGATTTCCAGAAGTCGAGTGACGTCTGCATTAGCATCTCTGTAAAAAAATAACCTTAGGCATATTTTCCAATAAGTGAATAAATTACGTTGATCATTTTTTAGAACCACACCCAGCGAGCCCCACAAAATTGCCATTAAGTTCACGTTTAGGGTTCGGAAACGAATTTGTATTACAGCCGTTTTCAGTAGCTTACTTGCTGTTACTCGTATCTGTATCCAATGGCAACGAAGTCGATTATTTTCAAGTCGAATGCCTCTCTTGGAGAAAAAAAAATCTAATAAATCCAAAAAAAATCTTTAATGTCGGAAGAATGGAGAAGATTGACAAATCCTATTAATAGTTATCGATGATTGGTTTATATCTCCAGACAGAGGCAGACGAAAACAGCTTCTTTAAATCAATACACGAAAAGAAGTAATTTAGCAAAGGCGATTGAGTTTGGGAAAGATATCTCTTTTGATAAGAATAGTAATAAACATATTGCTCAGAAAGAGCACTAAAGTTTAATGACGTAAAAAATTAAGTACATATAATTTATATAGTTTATGGAGGGTTTTTTTTCCTCTCTTAATGTACGCATAGTAATATTTTGATATTGATTGTATGGAACTTTATGAGGAATGTTATTTATGTTGTTTGTTTTTCTTAGATCAAAAATGAATTTTCGGAATCCGGATTAATTGCCTCATTTTTTTCGCTCCCGACATTTCACCCTTTAAAATTTTTGCTGCAGCTTAGGTAATGAGTTTAATCGTTAATTAGAAGTTATTACAATTAATCATTAGTTAGAGTTGATTTCAAATAAAATTACCATAATGGATGACATTTTATCAAATTTGAACAAATTAGCTTAAATGTTAATAAATTGTCAATGGCAAATAAAGACTATATCTCGCCAATATTTTACGACAGCAAGTTTCCAATTGGTGAAAATGATGAAGCTTTAACAATAATTTAAATTGCTCACATTTTTAGCGTTTCAATCTGCTGCCATAATAGATGCTTTCTAATATTGCACTTTCACTGTTGCCAAATGTACTTGGCATATTTTTTCACTTCAAAAACACTCTCAATTTGTCATTCTGTATATTTTTATACATTGAGATTTATGAAATTGAATGACTTTGTAAAAAAAAAGTTATATGAAGTCAAATAAGATTAAAATAAGATCTTTCCTACAAGAAACATCAATTTTTTTTCAATAATGTCACTTCGAACAATTTTACTCTAAGTTCTTCTATAATATTACGAAAACCTGAAACCGAAAAAAGAAAAGGCATGAATACTTTTATTAACTTTCAATCTAATGATTCGATATTAGTATAGAGGTGAGATATGCACCATGGACCAATTTTAGCACCTTTTTTTGCAAAAAATAAATAATAATTTAAAGAAACTTAATAGATAATTATTTAAAAACTTAAAAAAATAATTTAAAAAAAAACTTAATAAATTACAGCATAAAAACCTTTGAAAAAATTTGCGGAATAACTTTCCTATTAATATAATTTTTTCGTGAAAATTGTCTTGGTAAGCACTTCGAAAAAATCTTTTTAAAGTAAAACTAGGACTAAACTATAATATAGTGTTGTACGATTATTGATTGAAGGATTATCAATCAAAAATTACTTTTTAACATAGCTTACATAAGCTAAAAAAATCAAGTTGATTGTATACGTACCGTAAACCGGGGCGAGTCGACCCATTTTTTCAGTTTGTCAACTTTCAAGTGGTCAAACTTTTGTAAATATTAAAAAAAAGGCT